TGGTGGTGGTGGTGGTTGTGGTGGTGGTGGTGGTGGTATTGACAATGTCGACGGCGCGCACGTAGCGGGATCCCTCGCAGCCCACGACGACGACGACGACAACGACGACGACGACGACGGCGACGACGACGAATAATATGCAATCGGTGGCTTAGACTTAGACTCTCCTCCCGTGGGGGTGGCTCCAGTACTCGCCTCGCTCGTCGTCCACGAAGAATCGTCCACGATTATCGAGATATATATTTATACCGCGCAACTTCGCTTCGTCGCCAATTTCATATACGTATGCATACGCGTTGTGCACGATAAACGTGTCTCTACCCGCAGGGACACAGAGAGCAAGAGAGAGAGAGAGAGAGAGAGAGAGAGAGAGAGAGATAGAGAGAAGTGAGAGTGTGCGTGCGTGAGAGAGAGAGAGAGAGAGCGTGAGATCGCGGAAGAAGGAAGGAGGGAAGGAAAGGAACAAAGGAAGGAAGGAAGGAAGGAGGATAAGAGAGAGAGGTCGACCGATACGCGGCTGCGTTCAGCTGGTTAGTCGAGAATCGGAAGGAAGGTCGGCTCGAATCCCGCTCGCTGCGAAAAGGGGTTAGGTTTTCACGTGGTTGATATCACCGTCGATGCTCTGCGCCCCCGAAGCGAGGAGAGGAGAGGATCGCGCAGGTACGCTCTTCTCACCGGCACGCTCGCCGAGAGATCGTGTGGTGGTGGTGATGGTAATGGCTGGTGGTGGTGGTGGTGGTGATAGTCGTGGTGGTGGTGGTGGTGGTGGTGGTGGTGGTGGTAGGATAGAGGGGTATTCGTCGGTGGCGCGGACGCGCTCGTGAGACGAATCGAGGAAAACGTGGACCGAGGGAAGGAGAGGGAGAGACAAGAAGAAGAACAAGAAAAAGAACAACAAGAAGGAAAAGACACACACACATATATATATATATACACACACACACATATAGTATAGAAGTAGTAATCACACCTGGACCCGAAAGAAGAGCTTAGTAGTTGAAGCGTGGCACGCGTTGAAACGTGCGGAGTGAAAACTACTACTACGTGTGTAAACTACTACGTGTGTTCAAAAGGGGAGGAAGGGAGGGAGAGCGAAGCACGCCGTGGTAAAAGCGTGTATACAGGGTGTACCAGGTGGTAGAGAACGGTGGCTGGTGGTGGTGGTGGTGGTGGTGTTGATCCGGTGGCTGGTTACGAGTCAGAGGGGAGAGGGGCGGAGTGAAACGGAACGGAAGGGTCCTGCGGACGGCTCGGCCACCTAGGGGGAGCGAGAGAGGGAAAGAGAGAGAGAGAGAAAAGGTTCGCGTGCCTCCTTTTCCTACACACACACACACACACACACACACACACACACACACACACACACACACACACGACGACGCTATATACACACGCGCGCGCGCGCGCGCGCGT